CATATATATATATTTTATCTTTGTTTCATTAGATTTAGTATCGTAAAATATACAAACTGATTTCAATAATTTTTTAATTAATAACATTTGATATAATAAAAACTAATTTAATTTAAATACCAGCTTAGACCATTAGATTCTGAATTACTTTTCAAATTCAACAAAGAAACAGTAACACACGTTTGCTTGTTTTTTAGTTTTTAATTATATAAAAGTATGCTAAAATTATAGTTACGACAAAATGCCTTGTCTAGACTATATTTTATTATTCTTTGACTAAAATATTGAGGGGACAGAAAGATTTTTTTTGGACGACATTGTATTCTTAATTAAAATAATTAAATAAATGCACGTAGGGAGGTTTATCTTTTTTCGTTATTTATTTACATGGTTTGAACCTTGAAGTTTGAAGTCAAACCAAGACATTAATATGCCCTCTTTTCTTACATACTTGCTCACGTCTTGAATAATAGAGTAACTTTATAGAAAATTTTCTTTACATTCTTAATAATAAATAAAGAATATGTTAAATATATAAAACATACATTTAATATCTTAAAAATACAAAAAATTCAATTTATGGTATAAAATATGGTTAAATAGATATTATAAGAGAATTTAAAGCTATTCTTTATTATAAAGAGTAAAATAAAATAAAAATATGAAAATATGTAAAATAATAAAATAGATGATTTGACAAAAAGTATAAAAAATATTATCAGATCAATATTCTTTGCATTATGTTGGCTGCGGTTGTTGGACACCTTATCATAATTTAGCATGAGATGTGGAGATTGAGAGAAAGAAAGAAATTATTAATAATGCATTAATTATTTGGGAGCACCATAGGTCTTTACTCTCAGGTTACAAATAATCTGGGTCAACGATTAAATTGTATAGAATGAAGTTTTTCTGCTTATTTACCCATATTCTATATATTTATGATTATGAATGAGTCTATTTGTTCAACTCATGAATACTAGTTCAAAGTTGGCTTTCTCATGGCCCGAACAAACTTAAACATAATATTAAATATCCACTTAAAGTGGTTTGAATTAGATTAAATTATTTAATTTTTATATTTATATTTTTGAACATATAATAATATTAAAAAAATAAAAATGCATAGTAATTTAAGTCAATTACATCTAAATTATAAATATTAATCATAATACTTAAATTAAAAAAAATATCAAAATAAAACTAATACACACTCTAATGATGTAATTGAGAATGAAATTATAAACAAAATTAATACAATACTTTTATAAATCTAAATTTGATACTTGTTTTTGACTTTACTATTTTTAATTTATTCAATTATATTTAATAATTTATAATATATTTAATGCAATTATGACCCTACTTGTTATTTGTTTGGATTCTCTTGTAAGGAATGTACTTATTCTAGATATAGAAGGGTCAAATGTGTCAAGACTGACAGTCTGACACATCCTATATATCACAAGATCAGTGTGCAGAATGATTGTAAGGAGTGTGTAGAATGGTTATAAGGAGATGAAAAAAAAATGCCAAGTACATGGATTTTGTCCAACAAAATAGCCTGTTCTCTAAGCCCAATCAAGTCATAATTTTTCAACTATCATTTTTTTTCTTGTTTGTCCTTTAAACATCATGACAAAACATGTAAGTTTATATTTTATAATCAACCCTTTTGATTTGTAAATGCTTAAATTGGGGAAAAAAATCTTGACAAAATTTATGTTTATATTTTATATTCACATATCACAAGGGTACTTCTTCCAAATAAAACATTATATTTATCCTCGTCACTCATTCATGTAAAATTTGTGTTTAATTTCTCATAAAATTTATTTGATAATGCATACTCATTTTGATCTGGTGGATTAAAAAGAGTGTGATTAACAATTATTCTCATGAATTCTTTTTTAAATTTAACCTTTTCAAAACCCTAGCTAACTTCCATTGTATCTAAGAAGAAATACTAAGAGTGCATTGTCTTATTGTTTATATAAGGTGACAAAGAAGATAATGAAATAGAAAATGTTGAAGAAAGTGTTTCAAAGATATTCATAGAAGATGACATTAGAAATAATAATTTTAGAACTAGACAAGTCATTGTTCAATTGACGATTAACTGGATTCATCATAGTTAAATTGAATAATTTCTCAATTATAAGTTTTAGAAATGATGTCAAGATTGTGTGTTCAATTTTCGAGTGCATTTATTAAATTTAATGTCTAAATTTTAATATCAAATATGGTTCTTAAAGATAAATATAGAATTTTCAAATCGAGAAAATAAATCAACTTTACCTGTTTATATATACTTAAAGAATAAACGCTAAATTTATGAATATAAATGAACAAGATTTAGTTGAGTGATCCAACTTAATCCGTATTTAATTTAAGTTATCGAGTTAATCAAATATAATATTATTATATTTATATTTTTTTAGATAAAAAAAAGTCAAAAAATATATAAAAAAATAATTAGTTTAAGTTTTCATAGATGTCCCAAACAAAAAAAAATAACATAAACACTAACAAAAATAATAATAGTGTATTGCTCCAAACAAGCAATACTAGATAACAATTATTTGAATTAGATAATAAAAATTAACAAACTAAAAATTAAAAAAGTGATTATAAAATAAAATTAACAATCATTTAGGTTTCGAATTATGTGTTGTGTTTTAAAATAAAATTAACAATCATTATGTTTCAAATTATGTGGTGTTTTATTATTGTTATTATTATTATTATTATTATTAAATTGTGATTGTGTTGGGTCATATTAATCGAGTTACAAATCCTTTGGTCTAATACACAATGCAATTATTATTGAATAAACCAAAAAAAAAAAAAATCCAGCCCATGAAATTGATTTGCGGAAACATCAATCTTTAATAACTCATTTGGTTTGATAAAATTTTTGACCAAACCAACTAACTCCTATGGCCAACATACACGATACTATCATGAATTTCATCCATCAAATCTGATGTAGTTTTCTTCCTATAATCATCCACCGCGCATTTAACATTCACAACGGAGGATGCCAACTGGGAGTGATATGTAAGCACATGACAAACCAAAAACATTTCTCATTGTCTTATAACTCTCGCTACCGTTTAGAAATAACCTAATAACAAGTTCTATAAAGCACAGTCCAACTCTATCAAATTACATAAAAAACATATTGAAAGCATTTTATGTCAATAATGAATTAGAGAATATACATTTATTTTTCTACATTCATATCTAAACTCTGCACATTCTTAATCTTATACAAAAAAGTTTCAAACATTATCACTAAAACCCAAAATCATATATACAAGAAATTATTACCATAAAGTTTTTAATTTTCACACAATAAAGATGAAATTCAAATTTCTCATTAAATATACAATCCAAACTGGGTTCAGAGTTTAAGAATCCTTGTTAATTAGACTCGATCAATCATTTGACCCTAGTAAAAACCACAGCAAAATTAGCAATTCAATGTCATGTTACCATGTCAGTGCAAATATATTTCTAAAATACATTCATTTTACTTTCTCAATAAGGAATAATAGATTCAGACTAGTTATTCTTTATTTAACCTTTTACCAAACACAACAAAATAGGTCACATTAGTACATAGTAAAGTTAGCTTTTAAGAACTCTTCAATTTCTATAATTGATCAATAAATAGGAGACAGATGAACTTTTTTCTAAAGTTCTTGTAACTTCAATTTTCTTTAAAAAAATATAATAATTAATAATACAGGCAAATACATACATGTTCAAATCATACCACCAATTTAACTGTATAATTCAGCTTTAAGTTTGACTTGTGGACTGCGAATATCATCCTGGCTTTGAATTAATCTGATCTCTAAACTGGTTGACTCAAAATCATGTCCAACATTTTCGTAGTCACTGAGTGTCCTATGCAAAACTGCCTGCACATATTGGTGAAGCTTGAAACTGTTAATCATGTTATTAAAAAATTGTAGGTTTGTTTCAGCAGATGAATGCTAAAGTTTAAAAATATCGATTAATGTTCTCTTGTTATTTGAAAGAAGTAATAAATCAGTCAAAATATTTTGAATGATAAAAGATCTTTTATTAATCCAAAAGTAATTGCACAAATATCAGAAGAGGAATAAAAAATAATAACATTAACAGCACACATCAAGAAAATAAATACCTGCAAGCTTGACACAGCAAGTTCTGCAGCAATCTCAAGGTTGTCTGGGTATTTCTGAAATTAATAGACAAATATCATATCACCATTATGAAATTACTAGCAAGACCAAACTCTAGTCATAACTTTTGAGTAAAGGTAATACATTGCTCCAACCAAGAAGAAGTGCAGTCATGAGATCTCCTGTTCCCTACAAGCATAAGAACATAGTTAAGGTTCTAGTTATGGTCATTGAAAGTTTGAATCTAAATAGAACAGAATTAAAGATCTTTATTGAATGAATTTATAAGATTGTAGTTTGAAAATTTTCTTGAATGAATCTTATTTTTCCTATTTATCCTTTGGGCTTTGGATAAAATTCTTACTGTCTAATAAACACCAGGCTAAATGGATTAACAGCAACCAAAGCAATATGCCCTGTGCTTTATTTTTTTGCATGCAGAACAAGTGGACAATCATAGAAGGCTTTAGATGGGCAGTGATGTTAAAAAGGTGAGTTTTCTTTGTGGCTAGTTTGCAAAAGTGGTTACATGGTGTTTTATGGCTGGAGACGAACCATTGACCACTGCATTGCTCTCTATTTTCCCAAGGAGCATATAGCTACTGCAATGAAAAGCAGTTTTTTAAAATGAAATATTTGTCATCATCGTATTTTCCAAAATGAAAACAAGGCAAAAGTAATTATTGGAGCTCTACATGATGATGAACAAGACACCATGCAGCTCAGATCTATTTAGGCCCTAAATTGAAATGACTACGATAATCCATTTATTACAAATGTAAAATTATTGAATAGTTCAAGCAGAAATTATCTATGTTGGACTCCAAATAATTTTTTGTCATTCACTTTAAAAGAAATGTAAAGATCAATCTTGGTAAAACCAAATATAAACAGAAGTTTTTTGAGGAATATTCATACCGTAAAATAAGCTGGTATTTTTGGAATCAGGATCTTAAATTGTCTGGGAGGCTCTCCCTATCAGACAAAGATAAGACAAGTGGGGTTGTTACCATGAGAGCACTTAGTGTGTAGAATAAAATCACCGAGTCTATGAAATTTAAAAAGATGAACGTAGAAATGTATAGAATTAACCACTGAATGTATAATTAAACAAAACAGTTTTTCATGGTCCAGTTATTTGGGTGGTATAAATAATAATAATAATAATTTTTTTTATTACTACTACTATTACTACAATAGGACAATGTGTGTGTGTGTATATATACTGGAAAATATAGAAAAATCTAATACTATTTTATAAAATATTTCTCACATATTTAAGTTTCAATTTCATGTATTATTACAGATGTACAAAAATTACATTACATTAGAATTTGTAGAAGTAATGTTCATCTATTTTTGGTTACAGCATATGAGGTACTAACTGAACTATATAACTAACGGATTCATCTATTTTTGGTTGAACCACTTCGGTCAGTGTGGTGTTAAGAAAATTATGGAAGTTGGAAAAGAAATTTTACAAATCACTGTCAATACTCAAAACATAAGCAAACATATTATGCAAGTTAATTATGAAAACTAGTAATTTTAATCTCCATTATCACTCATATATCTGAAATTAGAAATAAAAATATTTAAATCAACAAATGTATTATAATTCACCTTTACTTTTTGATGACTGCCAATCAGGAGAAGATTCCCATCTATATTTATACTAGTAATTATGACCTGAAGAGCATATATACATCAGCTAAATGTTTGAGAGTAAAAGACCCTAATCTACACTTTGGAAAATCATCAAAGAAAGAGTCATTGTGAGTTGTGACATCAGACTTGGACATTTTCTTGGCACAAAAAAAGAACACTAAGAAAAGAAAAATTAGATATATACAGCGATTCAAGCATAAAATTCACATGAGTAATTTAGTAATTTAAATTCAAGCTTCTGTGTGAGTTTAATACAAGTTGTTTGAACACTAGAACTAGAAGCATGCCACTTTAGGATATTGTTAGATCCAAGCATGCAAGCCCTCTACTGCTGCTGTTTGTATGAAGTTAAGATCCACAATTTTTCAGGGAGTCAACAATCTGGCAGGATTTTATTATATGAATAAACCAATAACAGATCTAATTAATAATTCACACAAAAAAAGGATATATTGATTATTAAAACCAGAATCTTAACTGAAAAAAGAAATACACTTGAACTTAAAAAAATATTAAAGCTATCCAGAAAGCCAAGAAGTATTTATATGCCATGTTATACTATTCAGTGAAAGAATCAAGTAGATGGAAGACAAGATAAATTGATTTGGATCATCTATTTGCAGGGCTATATGACAATGAAGAATGAAATTTATTGCACTACCCAATATTTTAGTTGTCAAGAAATAGAGTAAACACTTATTATGGTCCTCCATAGAAATACATAGCATCACATTGTCCTCCAATTGCATGCAAGTTAAATTCGTCCTATAATGGAAATTAATACTACAGGTTTTCCTTCAACTTCAAAAACCATTTTGATGTCATTTTAAGGGCCAAATTGATAGCAAAAATGTGACTTGAAGGACCAATTTTTTGTTGCACATATCATTGAAGGACCAATCTTTAGAAATGGATGACCAATGTGACATGACATATATCTTTTGAGGACCAATTTGGACATCCACTCTCAAGAATATAATGGTAGTTTCAATTCTTTTTTCTGTATACCACATATCAGGGATTTCCATAGAATATAACGCAGGCCCGCATTCAAATTATTATAGCAAAACTGAGATTATCTACTTGAGACAGATCAAAGGATTTCTGAATTGCTTTGGGAAATCCTCAGCATTATTAATTACATACACATGATTTACAATCTCTAATATTAGAAAAGCAGCAAAATAAAGAAACTAGGAAAACAATACAAGTCAAACCCTGATTATTTAAAAAATAAATAAACAAACAAACACCCAATATACAGCCACTGAATAGGAAATGTTCTGCTTAAATAGGAGACACTTTCCAACAGATTCAATTAGTGAATCTTTTCTTTAATATTGGAGTCAAAACATTTGAGCCCATGGTTTAAAACTTAAATGAGAAATCAATTTGCATAACTTGGAGAAAGTATAAAACGTTTGTGACTAGTTGGAAAAAACAGATGCCCTTGACTATAAAATTTTTTTTTAAAAAGAAGGTGTTTTTCAAACACAGATCAGAAGGGAAAAGTCATGACCAGTACAACAAGCCTATGTTGAAAGGAGAAAGTTTAGACCAAGAGGCTTCAGGATCCCCAAAAAAAAGGTGTTTTTCAACATACAACAATAAAAACAAACCTTTGAGGGCCCAGCTGCATGGAGAAACCTACAGGCCTCTCGACCGTGTCCTTCAGATTGAATCCTATAATAAGTATGAAATTTGAATACTTAGAAGGCAAAACAGACATATTGTGGAGATGCACAAACAGAATGAATATGCACTAATCTGGCAGTAATATTGCTGATAACATAAAGAAAAATGAAAACTACAGAACTCAAAATACATTTGTTTGATGTACTACAGAACAAGCTAATTTGTCAGTGGATGTTGGCTCTAAACCTAATTAGCTCCACAAATGAAAAACTACAAAAATATATTTCCAAGGAACCAACAAATGCCAACATGCCTTAGTGCATGGCACAGCAACAGTGTACACTGGACACTTAAAAACTACCAAGATTTTTTCCCTCGATATGATCATACCCACACCCTGCACCAACAAAAATGCATGCAAAACAAAGATATATACTAATATGTATGACAAGAAACCCCTGGATTTTAACAATGAGGCAAACAGATAGAGGGAACGCATCACAAACCCCCCTCTTTCTCCCAAATTACAAAGAAAAAACAAATGGAATACTTGCAGCTCAACCTTCCCTAATTAAGGCAAGCAAATAAATAGTATTGACATCAAAGCACCGCATGGACACCAAATAATTTCATTCTGAGTAATGTCCATAACTTCATCTCAACAAAAACAATCTTTTACATCCCAAAACTTAGTCAAGAACGTTGTGTATTAAACAGAAAAGGCAAAAGAAATTAATTTGCTATCATCTATACAGTAGAGAAAGGAAACCAACAACATCGAATATATACTAGAAAAAACTTATGCATTCTTAATTGTTATATAATTACTTGAAGCCTGTCAGTAGTTCTGCCTCAAACTGGTTGGGTGTCAACATTGAAGCCACTGGAACAACCTGCCAAAATGTGTTACTCACATACTAAAACTAGGAATATACTGTATCATCCTATAAAAATAAGAACCTGTTAACTAGCATTAAAATATAATTTTCAATTATAGATGAAGGCATACAATAGTTCAGTCCAATAAGTTCATCTTTTTTAAATTTGCTACATTGTATATGACTATCCAGTATATATTATTGGCACTTGCACACCTGCAGAAACATTTTCGCCAAACAGCCATACCTTCTCACGATAGACTGATACTAGCTCTTGAGGAACATAAAGCTTTCCTTCATCACCCATCACTGGATCACATACTGACAAGGAAGCACAATTTTATTACATTTATATATACATAGATATATTTATTCTCTAAAGAGGAAAAAAAAGTAAAAAACATGATTGAGGTCCAAGTGCCTAACACCTAAAAAGGAAAAAGACCGAAATCCTATTCCCCAGGCTTCAATTGTCAACACTTAATAAAAATCGCGACAAAACTGTGTTGGCCATCTGGAACACATACTGTAGTTGAGACTTAAAAAAGTGTAGTCCCAGTTGGCTAGAACAACAGTATGTAAGTTCTCTCTTCAATTCCTCCCTTTATATCTACAGACTTAATGAAGTCTTCCATTGTTCCTTTTAAAAATTAGTAATATCTAAACATTTATAAAAGCTAGGCCAATATAAGATGGTCTGATGTTAAAAGTGAACCTGAAAATAATAAAGGAAAGCACAAACATTGTACAAGGTCAGATAGGGTAACTAATCAGGGCAATTTTATCCAGCATATCAAACAAATCCCAAGTATTTTCAATAGGCTCACCATAAGTAAGCTCTGGGTTTTTTGACCGAAGTTTGCTGACAACTTGCAATACAGCATTTAGAAAAGACTCTGAACCAATATAACCTGAAAATACATGGATTGGAATAGGGAACAAAATAAAATTGCAACTGACATGTTAGTGATGGAAGACAACTAACAATATAACAGTAGTCTGCAAAAGTATAACATAAAGCGCATAATGATGAGAATTTTTTAATACTAAAGGAAATATTGCAGGATGGCTCAACAATAGTACAAAATAATGATTTAGAAAGAGAGAAACTTAAGTTTATCAACCAAAAAATAAAAAAAGACACAAGAATTCTAACATCCAAAAGAATATGACACTCAATGGACAGTCAAAGAATCATTTCATCTACTTTCTGTAAGATAAATTGAAGCATTTTATCAAGAGCTAGAAAAACAATTTACGAAACACATCCTCTAAGAAAGACAAATTGCCATCTATAATGGCAAAGCTTGAATCAGCTGCCTCCTTAACCGATTTAATATACAGTTCACGAGGGAAGTGCCATATACTTCACAATCAAAAAATATTTAAAATACCTGTTAACAAGTGAGTATAGAACAATAAATCATTTCCTTCAAGGCCTTCTATTAGATCCCAGAGTTGCTGTCCATTCAAAACCTGACCCTTAAATGTCGGGTATCCTGCATTATAACCCTCAACTTTATTAAACCACAACTGCAGTATTACTTTAACAAGTATACCATGCCACACCTAAACTTAAGTGTATGTTTGGAACTACGCCTCACAACCCCTAAATTCACATTTAGCCCAACACAATCAGCAATAACTTCTGCATTCATGTGGCCACTGTATACTGTTCCAGACAAACCTTATTCAGATTGTTCAGAAGCAAAATATCACTAATGAGATGTAAAATCAGTAACTATTAGCTTCTAAGTAAAAATGAAAAATCACACCGGAGATGTGAAACCAAACACGCTATAAATGAAAAACTAAAGACGCAGCTTGCCTGTATGATTCGAAAACTGCACGGAATTAATTGGATCCACGTCATATCCCAGTAGTTGCAGAGGGAAGACAGCAGATTTATTGCCAACATACCCCTGAGAATAACACAAAACAGCCACAATTTACTTAGCAAGCTGCATGCAATGCAACTGACAATGACATTCGAGATTATTATGGCCAAATTGCCAACAGCATAAGAGGAATCACGAATTCCATTTTTCTGAATCCAAAACATCATGCACATAAAAATACATCAACCTTGACATCTTTTGACTTTTCATCCCGCGCAATCAGTCACCAAAGCATTTGATGCATAATTAAGAACATCTCAGCGAATTACTATTGATTTTAATATCGGCGAGACTATTGGAGGTTACTCTTCATTTGTAAATGCAATTGGTGGCGTTTGAACAAGCAATCGAGGAACAAACGGTGAGGAGAAAAACCTGGACGGTGTGAGATTGAATGCTGAGAACCCGACCGGTGTCCGAGGGAAGAGCGAGGGAGAGGATTGGAGGCGCCATGTGCGGATTCCTGGAGTTTGTGGCCCTTGAAATTGAGAGAAGAAAGAGGAAATCGATTGAAGAGAATGGAAATTGGAAAGCGAGTGCGGCGAGGCGAGGCGAGGAGAGGAGCTGAGAAAATTGAGAATCGGATGAGAGGATTTTACCGTAAAATGCGAGTTTCTCGGGAAAATCTGTAGTTGGATGGATGTGTGAGTCGTGGAGGCTGTAACAGCATGGAACACTGTTCGACGCTGAACCAGCCAACTTCTGCGTTTACATTCATTCATTCATATTATTATAATTCAATATTATATTATAGATATACGATACATGACCATCATGCTTTTTAATATGTTTCTATTATTTGTAATTACCAAAGTGCCACCACTCTCATACGGGGAGGGGGAGGGAGAGGGATTCGAATTCATTAAAATATAAATGTTTTTATTAATTGTGATACCAATAAATCACAATTACAAATCAGTCTCTTCACTCCTTTCTTTTTACTCCTCCATGTCCATAAATTTATATTTTAGGTTTTAATTTGTTCTAGATATTTTGATATTTTATAGATTTCAAACAATGTTAATTACTTTTTTTAATTAATTAAAATAAGTACTTATATTTTTTTTTTGTGTTTCTATTGGAAGTGTCTTGTAATAAAAATGAAGAGGGAGTAATTGTTATTCCTATTCGATAGTTGTTATTGTTAAAAAATATTAAATAGAATATTTAAAATTAAGCATAGTAATAAGTATGTCAAAGCAAAGGTAGAGAAAAGGTGAAAAATCTGGAAAAGTTGGGTGTAGCGGTCCAGGAAGACGGCTTGAGTAAAAAGATGGGGTCAAACAAGAATCCATCTAGAATTGGATGAGATTGGTATCTCTGACCAAGCCATGAAAATTGATGGTCGGTGGAAGATCGTACTTTCCAACCCAAATTTGGAGCAAATTCATCCAAAACTAAAGCTTCAATTCATAACGTCATCGTACTTTTCTTATGTTTCATCGTGAGTTTGTCTCGCAACATGTACCGGATTGATTTTACTTTATTGTAAAATTAAATTTTAATTATTTCCACCAGTAGAGAAAATAAGTATTTTGGGTTTCTTAATTTTTTAAAATTATTAAAAAAATAATAAAAAAACAAATAAATTGTATGGCTAGTTGTAAGTGATTATTTTTTCTCTTTAGCAATTAAGAAATATAATAATCTATTAAAAAGTGAAGACATAAAACAATTATATTTTTTTTTTTATAATAGATCACTACTTCATGCCTCTTAATTTCTTAAAAATTGAGATAAAATAATAAAAATAAATAAATAATGAAATAGGTGGTTGTAAGTAGTTTTATTCATATAGAACAAGAGAAGTTATTTCCTTTTTGTTGTTATTAACATGAGAGATATAGTCTGCAAAAAAGTAAAAATTAAAAATAGTTTGTATCTTGAGAGTTAAGTTGTTCCTGAGTTAGTTTTAAGCACGGTTAGTTAGGTTAATTAAAATAAAGGTATATAAGATTTTTCTTAAGATGTGAACTTTATAAGTTTATATTTTAAGGAAAACTAAAGAGAAGGTCTGTAGAGTTTGAGAAATCTTTTCATTCCCTTATTCCTCTCATCCCTCCCAAACACTTCCTATAGTTGATTGAAGTTGGTAGATTGGTGATTTGAAGCTTGCAGGGCCAAGAATTCTAAGTCAAAAACATGCAAAAATTTCTTCCTTCTTTCTCTTCTCTTTTCTTTTGAGCGATTAAAGGCAAGAGAAACTTTGTGTTTGATCATTTTTGGAATGTGATGATTATTTGATGTTGATATTCATAAAATGTTAGTTGTTTTGAATTGAATTTATTTAGAATGTAGTTTTGCTTGAGATTTGGGTCTTAAATCTTTGGTTGCATGTTGCTTTTGGATTTATTTTCAAGTTCTATATGTGTATATAAGTTGAGTTACCTTTTGCATGTTGGTATTTGATAAATTTCAGGTGAAATGAGCCAAATTGAGCTTTTGTCAAGTGCAAATATCGTCATCACGCTAGATGGGCCTTCATGGCATTAGACGTGACTCAAAAGTCAAGGATTCTAAACTCTCATGACATCAAGCATAGGATTGGCGGTGTCCGACGTGAGGAGAGAAATTATCTCTAACTTGGTCACACCGGGCGTGGATTTGAATGATGTCAAATGTGGGGAGAGAGAATCATCTCTACCTGAGTTGACGTTGAGTGTGAAAGACTCAAAGACTTTCTACCTTATCCACGATGAGCGCAGGTGTATTAGTGTTGAATGTGAGCGACATAAAGCCCTTGTCTCAGTAGCATTTAGGGATGACAAATAAACCTGTATCCGTGGGTAATACCTGAACCCGTCCTAACTTTGACAGAAAATGCCCGGTTTGACCGAGTACGGGTAAAACCCGATATGTCAAACCAGGTACGGGTGCGGGTATATACATACCCGCCCGTACCCGTACCCGTCCCCGATTGAATTATGTTAAAAAATTTAATATTTTATTATGTGTAATTATTTATTATAATGTAAAATATTTATAGTTGTTTAATTATTAAGAAATCTCTTGATTAAAATATGAGATAGAGAAACAATTTAATTATAATTATAATATAATAAAATAATTTAAAAATATTCTGTATTTTTTTTGTAAAAAAAATAATAATTTTTTACGGGTATGAGTACCGGTATACCCGATGGGGATGGGGATGAGGACATAAATTACATACCCGGTGGGAACTGGTATGGGGATGGGTTTGAGTCGCGGGAACAGGGACGAGTATCATAAAACCTGTACCCGACCCGTCCTGTTGCCATCCCTAGTAGCATTAAGTGCGTTGGGATTGGCATCGGGCATGAGTTGTATGATAAAACATGTTGATTTAAGTTGATTAATGGTTGAAGAATGGTTATTAAGTTATATGATAAATGTTATAAGATGATAACTCATTATGCATTAAGTTGATATAATGTGTAGTGATGTTATAGTTAATTAAGTTGATAAGTTGTTAGGCATGTGGTGAAGATACATGCATTAGTTAAGATACATAAAGATTAGAAGAAGGTATGTTGTTTAAGTTGTTCCCTATAGGACTTATGTGGAACAATATGAAGGCGTGGTCGATTCATATTGTAGTTGAAGTGACAAATCGAGTAAGGAACAAGGTTGGGGCTTAATTCCTAACTGACTACTAGAAAAACGTACTATTTGGAAAATAGTCGATAGACTATATCCATAGGAAGCTTATTGCTGCAAGTTAATTTCATGATCGACTCATATCTAAGTTGTTGTACCCTAACAAGAATAGTAGATTTCCTAATTTAAGTGACGAAACGTGAGAAATTAATTTAAGTTGTATACTTGACTCTAAGAGGCCTAACATTGTTTATACTTGACTTAGTTGTGAAATGTCAAATGTTGTGATTCAATAAGATCTAGTCACTTAGATTGCTCACATCTATTGTAAGAGATCTTTATAGTTGATGAGTGACAACACATTAGTTGTTTAAGGATGTCATTATTTTGTTGTTTGTGTTGTAAATTGTTGTGATGTTGATGTGATAATGTTGTTAACAAGTTGAAAGTTGTTATATTGAGTGGTATTGAATGTTGATTAAGTTGTTTATATGGTATGCTGTAAGTTGTTGTTGTAAATACTATGTTGATTTTTTTTTTTACAAGTTTACCATTTCTTTTCCTTGTAGTTGAAACTACAATCATCATATTCTGTATAAGAGTGAGATATGACTAGTAAGATAACTTGTTCAGTTGGTGGAGAGTCATGCAACCAATGACCACTTTTGGTGGTGTCACTCTGATGTGACATAGTTATTATATAGGCGTTTGACCGATGATTAGAGATCTTTTATATATAGTTATGTAGTTTATGTAAATTATATGTGTATAGAGTGTATGTAATCCCATAAGGGAATTTATGTTTCTAATAATTATGTTTTTTGTCTTATACATGTGTAGATTGCATGAATGATTAGGTGACTCTTATATAAGAACTTTAAGATAATTAAACATTGTTTTGTATTTTTGATATGTAGTAATTAGACTATAATAAATAAAATGACCTACCAGATTGTTATATAAATAATAATTTTAAAAACAAATTATATTTCTACCTATCATTACATTGTTGGTCATATCAAATGTGCTACCAACATCTACTATTTTATGCATATGATTAAGAACGGAATCTTGACTAAGATACTAAAATAAGGACATAATTATTCCCTAAATAGAGATGAAAATGTTACATGAAACAATAAACCATCTCAAAATCACAAGGAAAAAAATTACAAGTATTTTTTTTATTAATGATCAAAATAAAATAAGATCAACATAAACATCATCTTTTATTTGTATTCATCATTTTTTTTATTGCAATTCATAAATTAAATTACACATAATTGTTTATATACTTAATGTTATTTACTCTATTTTCCTTTACGAAGAAAAACCATTTTTAAAGAATTTCTTTCTTTATTATAAATATAAGATAAAACATATTTTATTAATAACTTTTATTCAAATTATATATACACATATACAAATATACTAGTATTTTAATCTTTGTAATTCATAAATAAAATATTTATTATATATTAATAAAATTTATAATAAATTATACACACAAATAAATAATATGTTTTAATATATAAATTATGTTTTAAATTTGTGTAAATAGGTGTTTTTAAAAGATATAAATTATATTTTAGAATTATGATAAATAATTTATATTGTAAGATAATATTATTTTTATTTATTGGTAACTAGTATTTTTATGTGTGTAATGCATAAATTAAATATTTATTGTATATAATTAAAATTTATAATAAATTATATATAAAAATAAATATTATATTTAAATATATAAATCATATTGAAAATGGTAAAAAAAATATAGATTTATGATAAATAATTTATATTAT